ATTTTATTTAGACTGGTGTAGTCTACATACTGATTTCCGAAATGGAAATGCGAATCGTGAGTCGGAACTAAGCAAGTAGAAATTAAGAAAAGTTAGATTATAGAAATAACGTACTAAAATAATTCATAAATAAATTACGTTTGCCATTTATAGTTTAATGGTAACTGTATGTAGACTATTACACTCTTCAACAATCAGTAACCATAAATTCTGTACAAAATTGTTTATTAAGGTTTTCAGTGTAAAAACAGTGATTATTTCTCTGAACAGAATTAACCAGTTGATCTTTGTAAAAGAGAAGTGTTCTATTCTTTTAGTACGTATTTGGCTTCGAAAGTTGAAAATTTTTCATAATAATACACAAATTATTAGAATGTTCTTAATAAAAATAACTTAATTTGTGCCAGTTCCAATGTTTCTAAGTTTGCATACTCGTAGTATATAGTATACACTATATACTGTCCAAGGTTCAGAGATAATATTAAACAAATTCGTGTGTGCCTCTTCTCCGCGGGTCGGCTTCTCCAAAGATGTTTAATCAAATCCATGTAGGAGGGTCCATCTTGAGAAGCTAACAGTTTCTCAGCTACTTAAAAAAACGCTGCCGTTTATGAAACCCGAAAATTTATTGTAGTGTTCTCAAGAACCCCCCACCGGCCCATAAAGTTACTTGTGCGAGATATGTGATCCGAAGATCTCGTTCTCTTTTATTTTATCACTAAAATAATGCTTGGTAAAGAGAGCAGTTTATGAAGCTCTCATTGTGAAATCTTCTCCTGTCACCCGTTGCATCATCCTTCTTAAGTCCAAACTTCAATGATATTCAAGAGTTTTGAAATTGTGAGATAGTAACAGACCACTTTACGTTAGAAATATAGGGAGATGACAAATTCGACGAAGAAACTGAAGCTGTAACGTATTACGTAACTCAAGGTTCTGCTTCCGAAACTGAGAACCTGTCAAGAAGTACCCTGCCTTTTTTGGAAACCAAAGATTCATTGCCGTGTTTACAAGATCGTCACAGATCCCTACCCTCTGCTAAATTAATCCAACCCACATCTTCCCACCTTATTTCTCTACAAAATATTATAACTTTGACTCGGTCTCTCAAATTCAGGTTGTCCAACCAAAATTTTGTATGCATTTCTCACTTCTCCCATGCGTGCTGCGTGCAACGAGCATCATATTAATTTTAGTGTGTTTCCAATAATATGTAGTCTAAAGAGAATACGCTTACTGCAAGTTATAAATCTCCTTATTACATGCAACATTCTTCAGCCTTCTTTTACTTCCTCCCTCTTAGCTCGAAATATTCTCAAAATTCTTCTGGAAACACCCTTTTTCTATTTTTTCCAATGTGAAACGGGTTACAGAAATGTAACCATATTGCGTAACGCATGTGACTATATTCTGAGAAACAAAACTTTATACACAATGTAAAGAATACAGACGGTCTCAGTAGCCTTGTCAAGTTACCATGTCATTTTAGTCTCTGCTGCCTTTGTCAAAACCAACTTACATACATATTGTAATCATATTATGACGTCATAAGTTTTTCATGCAGACGCTATATGGTGCGGATTTACATAACCAAAAACTGCATTCTTCGCATTAACTAACATTATTCAGGGTTATGTAAACAAATTAGGAATTTACGCATAAGTGAAGGTAAAGATATGACAATGAAAAGGTAAGGTCGTATAGTTTAAAATGCAAGTAAGAATAAATTACACACATCTGCAAGATGGGAGTTTCGAAATCCGTTGTCGCTGTACTACCTTTACGTCTGCAGAAACTTGGTCAGAACTCTGTAGCAGGCTCGTTTTCATATTTATATTATGCTCAATTTCAAAATTCTTTTGTTTGATTCGTGAAGGAAAATTTACAATCGATCAGTCAATATACACAGGGCTTCACTACAACACATGTCTGTCGTCTGAAATTAATTTGAAAAAATTCAATCGTTTTATTGGTTCATTAAACTAATTTTAGGGTCCATACTTCAATCGTTTTATTGGTTCATTAAACTAATTTTAGGGTCCATACTTAATGTGTAAGATTTGAGGTTTTCACAGCGGTGAGTATGAAGATTTCTGTCTTCTGGGTTGTTGCGCTGTGTAGTCTGGTCGATGTTAACTAACGTTTCAGAGGTCATACTGCCTCCGTCATCAGGGACGAAGACAGTATGACCCCTGAAACGTTGGTAAACATCGACCAGACTACACAGCGCAACAACCCAGAAGACAGAAATCTTCATACTTATTGACTACAAACAACAAATTTAAAAACAGGTTTTAATATAGTTCTAGCTACATAAAATGAAGATAAAATCATATATCTCTTCACTTCCCCTATTCCAAAAAAGCATTAAGCTTTACAGACTACAAATAATAAAGTTATATGACATAAAAATCCCTTAATATTCTCCCCAGATGACATTCAAATTTTGTTACACGCTGAACCACACGAGTGTACAACAAAGATCGCTGGACATTTGAAAGCGAAATCAGTAGCACATGAAACATGCATGTAGTACCTATATATAGTGAGAAATTCTCTATCTCTTCAAGCATGACTGGTCGCCGTACAACAAGCAATGTGGTCTGCCTACTGTCAAGGCGCAATAAAAAAAGTTAGAGAGTGAACGGGCCACGAGAGGGAGGGGGCATTTAAAAGAGTAATTAATGAATAGGTTGGCCTGACACATTGTACACATGAGTAGCTAGTAGATAGTGTGGTGTATGCAAGTTAAATTATGACTGATGGCTAGAAACGCGGACACAGACAGGCAGAACTTGAACGATATAGTCATGTGAATTGTAAAATGTCTGTCCAATTGTATTAATGTTCACATTATCCGTAAAGTTGTGCAACTCCTCACGAGACCTTTAACAGGAACTGTCTCCAGGTCACTCAGAAAATATTTGGCCAACATTGCAGAAGTCCGCCATTTTGGGATCTTCATACATCATTCGAAAGACACTCTCGTAAAATATGTAGTCATCTCTAACAATAAAATTATATAATACATGTAGCACGTGTTAAAAACAATATATATCCCGGAAATAGCTGCTGCCCTATGTACCTTAGGGACAAGGACTGTCTCGGGTAGATGGAAGTAAAGAGCCTATAAAGTGGTGAATAGATGGGATAATAATAATACAATGGTCATATTTGTACAATTTCAAGCAATACAAAAGTCTGATTTGAGTAGGATTAAATCCTGTGACGAGGTACGCACAAAAAGCTTGTTCTTACTGAAACATTTTAATAATACAAAATTTTTAGAACTTCAAATTCGTGATTTGTACGGAATTCCTTTTTATAGAAAAATGTTGAATAACCTATGCAGTGCACAGCGTTCTGGCAAAATACAGAGGAAGCACTGAACTTACAGAACACAGCATTGGAATACGTATTTATATATGAGTTTATAAAACACACTCGGTTCGTACAAATGATTGACGCTTGTGGATAATTTCACTTCGCCTTACTTACGTCTACTTATTTAACTCTATGATTCTCCTTCATACTGTGCCACTAGAAATTAACTGATTGATAGCGGATTTAAAGTACTATTTACTGACATCTAATCAGATTGACGAAATTTAAAGAAATACTTCACACGTAGACTCAAATATCCTACATGTACTTTGACACTCGAATGGCCCAACACCTACACAACATCCTTAATTGTCATGAAGCCGTCCCTGTCTGGTTAACGACAGACGCCCCAAGGCTATTTTTTATTCTTGCCATTTAGAATTGCAGATGTCGAGTCCATGATTCTGTAACGGAATATTTATTCTGTATTTAAAGTTAAGAGATGGCAGAATTTTCTATCATGTATGCATTTCATACACTTCAGTCGAGGGACGCAAAATCATAGAAAACAAACCAGGACACGCAGAAAGGTGTAATTTGCACGTTTGGCGTTGTCATGAAATAAAGCAATAGGCCAAAGCAATCTCTGGAGTTTACTTAAATCACTGATACTCCACGTTCATCTAAATAATATTTAAACCCTCAATCTTACCTCAAAGACAACTTAACAAATCTTCATACAAGGATAAGTTGACTAATGCTACTTAAGGAAATGGCGTGTTCTGAGAATCATACGAAATACATAAACCCTGCACTCTGCGAGCAAAATGTAGAGTTTGTTGAAGTCAAAGCATGTGATGTACATACTACAGGTACCATTATGCTCCAAATGATATATATCATATTATTTGTCGTCATTTTATCTGAAAAATCTTTGTTGATGAAATTTCCGTCTTGGATACAGAAAAAAAGCAATGCATCCATAACTGAAATTTTCCACTCACCCTCACGATGTTATTTCGGAAAACCGTTACAAACGTGTTTTGTTCTTCTTGGAAATGTGGTACTCATGGAGGCGTTTTAAACTAATCAACCTCAAAGGACGGCACAGTCTCGCAAGAAACAATCTACAGATTCCAAAAAGAAACATTTTCCCACCGCGCACACTTGACCTGGGTCACTGTGTGTGTCAATTCCATCGGTGGCGGTCAACGTGTTCCTGCACAGAATTCCACCCCCATTGAAGCAAGAAACCCCTCCCCGCACGTCAGTCACATGGCGGGGCTGGTTTCGGGAGAAGTGCCATGCAACGTCTGTACAGGCGGCCCTGATCTGCTCATCTGAAAACCCAACCCAGCGTTCGACGATGCCCTGACGTGGGTTTCGTGTAGCAGAGAAGCGGTTCCCTTGTTGCGAAGGGAGGACGAAGAGACAGAGGGGGGAGTTCAATGCTGAAGAAGAGGGGCCAGGAAGATGGGAAATGAAAAGCGTGCGCTGCTTATACACGAAATAAAAGAAACAGAAAAGGAGGCAACAAAGACAGACGAACAAGGAATGGTGAGTGAGCGACAAGGACGGATAGGGCGAGGTTGTGTGCGAAAGAGAAAGACGATTGAGTTGAAAAAAGCTCAAATACGATGGTTGCACCATCTGGCGAGCAAATGTTTGAACTACGACAAGGCCGTTGTTAAGGGGAGGGAATCATCTCCTACAACAGTACTGTCACTGTAATATTGGCTACCACGAAGCGGTAGGGGACGGAATATAAGAATTATAGTTCAGTGAAGGGGGATCCAAACAGATTATGACATAACTAACAGAGGAACGAATTGAGGAGATAACAACAGCAACAACCGACTACCACGACCCGTGGCTGACGGCGAAGTCATAAAACTAGTTATAAAGCATCGGTCAGAAAGACCGAGAGACGGACGGACGGACGGACGTACGGTGCATCTCCGACCGCAGGCGCGCACACGAGCTGAGAGTAATCACCACTGATTCCGGTGGCGGGTAATACACGGCCTCTTTATTTTCAATTAAGAATGCTTTTACTGT